ACCAACAAGAAGATTAATTGGTGCTCAAAATTTAAAAATAAAAATGAACTTTAATTTGTTGTTTCCTGACAAGATTAGGAAGAATGTTTAGCCTTTAAAAAGTGATAAAAAAAAATATTTACTTTTAAGAGATTTTTATACAAATAAAAGTTGATTTGTAATCAGTCACGATCATAAAATATATTTTTTCAATTTATTTATTTATTTTTCTTCTTCTCATAATTAATAAGTAATTCGTGCTTACGCACAACTATTTTTCTTTTTTTATTACTTATGAAATAAACATTATTTAAAAATTTATATATTAGAATTGGACTTCTAAATAAAAATATCTTTTTTTCTATATATATATTTCTATCCCATGTAAAAAAAAATAAATAAAAGTTAAAAAAATTCTTATAAACCCTTGAAGAATTTTTTTTAAAAACATTCTTGTACAAGATAGATGTTTGTATCTAATATATAGGGACTTATTATTTTTTATTAAGCAGCATTTTTAAGTTTTAAAAAAGAATTTGGTGACATTAGAGTTTAGATTAAATATTTAATTATAAAATAAAATATTCTTTTTTATTATAATTTCTTTTGAGTTTCAAAAAATATTATTTTTTAAAATTAAAAAAAGTTAAAAAAAATAAATAAAGAGAAAATGTTACTAAAATAAATATTATTTTTCTTCTAATTTTTTTATCTCTGTCATTAATTTTTTTTTGTTGTAATGTTGTCCTTTTCGTATTGATGTAATCAAGATATTAATTTAAAAATTTTGTTATTTGATGTCAATTTTATTTTGTTAGAGTTATTCTAAATTAGATTTCTTGACACTTCATGTCTTTTTTATACCTTAAGCTAGATTTGTAATCTTCATTTCCTTCTTAAATCAATTATACTTAATTGTAAAATAAAGATACTTATCTAAACTTCCTTTTATTGTGTCTCAACAAATTCGGAGAGGCAAACAAATTTTAATGTTGACATGATATATATGTCTACTTCCTTTGGATTAAGTTTCTAAATTAATTTTTATCTTAACACACCACATGAAAAGAATGAATAAAATAGATATTTCTTTCAAATTAAATTATGTGTATTAATTCCTAATACGACAATAATATTTTTCTATATAGACTATTTCCTCAATTCTTTTAATCTTAGTATTTAACATCTATGTTGCATAAGATTTTTTAAGTTAGATAATTTTTTTAAAATTATGATTAAATATATTCAAAACAAAAGTTCTAAGGTCTACAATGCGAAAAGGTATTCGTCATAAAGAAAATTATTTCTAATTAATTAAATAAAATAATTATCAATTTTAAAATATTTATTTTATTCTAAATTAATTATAATAAGTATTTACTTTATTTATATACATTTATTTATTTATTTATTTATGAAGATTATTATTTATTATTATGAAAAAAATTAATAATTACGTAACTCTTTTATAAAAAAATCTTTGTGTGTGAATATTTTAAATTTGATTTTATATTAAATTTTGAACATTTTGAATTGTCACAATTTATAGTTATAAAAATTAGAGGTATATATTTAAACCAATCTACTATCACATTCTAATTTTATTTACCATTTTAATTTTTTTTATAACAATTTAATTTTGCTTTCGACATTTTTCATTATAGAAGAGAGTTTTAAGAGATTACATTGTCAAAATTACTGTCTTTAAAATTAAAAAGATGTTACAACTAATTAATTATTTTTTTATTTAATACTTTACTATTTTTAATTTTTATTAATAAATTTATAAAGCTTAATTTCAAACAATATTAAAAAAATCTTACTTTGTTTATATGCACAAAATGACTAAATGAAAAGAAATAAAAAAAATGTATAAAAAAACATATATTGTTGTGTAGAAAACAAAAATGAGATAAATAAAATGTTTTAAAAAATAAAAGTGAGCCATTTCAAACCAATTTGACAAAAAAAAATGAATTTTTAATAAATTTATTAAATTGGGATTGCTAGATTGGTTGTATCAAAGCTTATCAATTGGTTAGTTAAATGATGTGAATCTCTGATAAATTGCATCAACTCAAATTAGTAATTTGAATTATTTACTTAAGGTTTAATTTTTTTTTAAATGAACAAGTTTTGATTATGGTTGTTGTAAAATCATCTCTTTATTTTTCATCCTTATAAAATTTGTAAGCATTTTTTTTTATTTAATACTTTACTATTTTTAATTTTTATTAATAAATTTATAAAGCTTAATTTCAAACAATATTAAAAAAATCTTACTTTGTTTATATGCACAAAATGACTAAATGAAAAGAAATAAAAAAAATGTATAAAAAAACATATATTGTTGTGTAGAAAACAAAAATGAGATAAATAAAATGTTTTAAAAAATAAAAGTGAGCCATTTCAAACCAATTTGACAAAAAAAAATGAATTTTTAATAAATTTATTAAATTGGGATTGCTAGATTGGTTGTATCAAAGCTTATCAATTGGTTAGTTAAATGATGTGAATCTCTGATAAATTGCATCAACTCAAATTAGTAATTTGAATTATTTACTTAAGGTTTAATTTTTTTTTAAATGAACAAGTTTTGATTATGGTTGTTGTAAAATCATCTCTTTATTTTTCATCCTTATAAAATTTGTAAGCATTGTTTTTCATTCTTGTAAAATGAATAAAAATTAGTTTTGATCCTTGTAATTTATTTCATTTTATTTTCACCCCTCTAAAATTTAAAGTCATTGTTATTTGTTCTTGATTATCATTTTAAGATATATAAATAACATATGTTTTAAGAATCTATAAATTATTTTTGGAGATGTCACACATGGACAAAATATCACATACAATATATAGATACAACATGAAATGGTCACTTAACTTATAAATAATCACATAAGTAGTTAAATATGATTACATAATAATAATCATAATAAGGATTAAAAACATAGTTGCAAATTTTAGAAAGATAAAAAAAATTATAAAGATCAAAATCAAAATTTATTTGTTTTTCAAAAACCAAAAATATATTTAAATTTTACTTTAATTACATGTATCATTCAAATTATTACCTACGAGGTGCCAATAGCAAATGTTGTTAATAGAAGTCCACTTAAAATTCCCTTTACAACTATTCAACTAACTCCTAGACACCAACATCCTCTCAGAAGATTGTCGACCAAATAAAAAGGATAAACTAAAGAAATTCAGATCTCCACCCGTAAAGAATTGAAAGTTCAATATGAAACTTTAACCACTAACATTAATTTGTGTTGCGGCAAATATGATATTAGCAAGTGTTAGAAAGTCTTACGAAGGATGTGGTTTGTCATTGTGAATAATGACGACGACATTTGTTTCCATAATCTCTAACATGAAAATTTTATTTTCTATAAATTTTTTTCTTAGGTTTCATAGTTTGTACGTAATTGATGAGAAAATAAGTCATGCCCCAATCACAAATATTTAAATGCTGAAGGAAGACCTGAACCATAGTGTCTCAAGATAAATGCTACATATTTAAATTTGTAGTAGTTTTTTTTTTTTATCATATTTATCAATGTACATGGCATTCCACTTGTTAGATATGTGGCATTCCACATGTTTTTGAAGTTTCCCAATTTGAAGGTTTGGGTTTGTCATGGGCCATGAATTTTGGTAGATTTACAGTCTAATAGTTTAGGTTTAGGTCAGGCCCAATAGAATACAAGTTTTGATTATAATTGAATTTTTATGCCTTCACGTTAATACAGATGGAACTTATTTTGGTGCTTGAGAAAAATTGTTGACCGACTCTAGCAGTTTGCTTAATTTATAGTATAAATAATTCTATCTAAGTCAAGAGGAAAATATTTTAATAAAATCATTGAAAATAAACCATTTCACATTTTGGAAAACTATAAACAAAGAGACAACAAGTGAGAAAGCAATAAAAAAAACAATTAATTTGACTCTTAAATCTAATGCAATTGAAAGTCAACCAAGTTAGATAAACAATAATTGTTGATGGATATGCTTCAATCATCAATGTTAAAACGTGCAATGACTTTACCCTTTCAGTTTCTTTTTTATTTTCAGAAACTTCAATACATATTGATTGAGTTGTTCCCCTGAATTTCTTAGTTGGTTCTTCCAATTAACCCAAGATTAAGAACTTTAACTGAAGCAACAAAATATAACTGCCATAAACATGAGAAAATTAAAATCTAGAATAAAATGATTAACAGCACAATATCAAGATAAACTATATTAAACTACAAACAACCGAACCGATTCCCATTCATATCAAAAGACATATTTTAAGCAAGTCTATGCATGAGTTTGGGGTTAATTCTTATATACGACAATGCTAGCCAGTTCCCACAACTAGCAGTTGTGTGTATGCAATGCATATTAAACTAAAACAAGAGCAACCATTTAATAAGAATTGTACCACCATTTGAACTTGTCAAAAGTCACTATTTATAAAATATATTGAATTTAAAGTGCAGGTTATAGCACTGTTACATCAGCAATTTTGTTTTTACCATACAGTATTTTGAGAGAGTTGTAGCTTCATGGTTAAAATTCATCATCTTTCACTTTTTTCCTTGCAAAAAACCTTTCTTTTTACACACAAATTACAGACTATTTCAGATTATTTCAAGAGCCTCACATTTCAAAGACTCTCCATCTCTCTTTTAAAATTTACTCTTCTCTCCTTTAGCACCAATGATATTTCTCTAGACAACAAATTCTGGAAATAATCATTACATTAATCAATCGTTGTAAAATTCTGGACAAATAATTGCAATTACGGATGAAGCCTAATACATGTCAGGTCATGTTAGTTTTACTGTTAATTTAATATTCTTTCAATGAATTTCAGTTGATTTTATTAAATTAGTTTGATACTTGTGTGTTATTGTGAGCTTGTTGCCATCAGGATATATTAGGCTTTGCCCTCTCCCTGTAATCTGGTTGGACTCATCAAATTTTGTGCAAGCTTATGCTTTCCAAGTCCACACATTATAAAATAACAAGCAAAGGGAACTAATGCTGCATTCTGTATTTGTCCATGAAACTGTAAATCTATAAACAGACATTAGGTTGTACAGCCACACTGACTAATGTGTAGTCTGGCTTTGGTATCTTCTATCATTTTTCCAAAACATAATTAACATAAAAAGCAAACCTTGTACCTTAAATTAAAAACAAAGCCACAAACTATGGAGACAGTACAAGGAAGAAATCAGTCCTACTTGTAGTTCTGTTGGTTGGTAGTGGTGAATATATTATGAGCTTGCATATGAGGAGTTCAGCCATTTGTCTATACATCTGGAGATCAAGGTTTTCCACATTTGGTATATCACTTGCACCAAAGAATTTTACTCTGGCAGAGGAACCTAGTTCAACAATACAAAATGCATCAGAAGATTTATCACAGAAATGAACACACTTAGTTCATTCAAGAATTAACAAGTCCAAAACAGAAATGCTACTCCCTCTATAATATGTTACTTGACATTCAAAGTTTGTTCTTGTTGAGACTCACAAAACAGAACAAGTTTCTGTAAACTTATTTGGGTGGAAACAAAATGTGAAGGGGGAATTTCCATGAGCAAATTGCACAATGTTTATCTCTTAGCTCACATGGATAACTAACAATACGCACGTAGAAACAACCAAGCTGCATCACATAAACGATATGAACATTTATACATAGAACTAATTTACATTTTGTATTCACTCATTACAAACTTCAAATTCAATATCCAACTCACTCATAGAGCACAAAGAATTAACTTTCATTTTTTTCTTGAAGGATCAATTGATACAAAAATATAACACAGGCACATCATTACCCTTTCACGTTCTAATTCTTAAAATTAAAAAACAAAAGCAACACAAAAAGAAAATCTCCCAAATCTAGAAGCGGTGATCATTTTGTTATTCGACAAGGTTCATCTACCTCATTATTGTCCCAGTATAGAATGATAGAAAAAGCAAACTAAAAAGAGTAGAAACTGATTTGATTGAAAATTTTCACCCTTGGGTTTTGGGTCCCTTCATATGTGGAAAATAGGCCCAAATGTATAAGTTATTTATGTCTTGTTTAACCAAGTGAGAAAGGTCAAATTAGAGTTGAGAGTGAGCGACTCATTATTCAGAGAGAACAGCTGCAAACAAATATAGAGAAGAGAAGAGAAAATCATAGTGCAGTTTGCATATCCATAGGATGAAGCACACTAGATGGAATTAGAATGAAAATAAATTGAAATAACCATTGGCATATTAGAGAAGCCGACTGGTGACTCGTTGGAACACATCTGCATATATAAGTGATTGAAAGTAGGTTACGTATAGTTAATATGAATCAAGAGAATCAATGACTAACTACTTTTTGCCACAAATCAAATGATCTAGTTATTCTTTAGTAACTAGAAAGCATCTCACCTGATTTAACACTTACAATAAGCCTCTAGCAATCATTTCTCGGAGAAGTTCCTCTGCCTTATCATTCTCGTCTTTTTCAAATAGAGCAGAAATAATTATTTCAAAAGTTATAGCATCAGGGATGCAACCTTTCTCTTCCATTTTTGACTGCAAGGCCAATGCTTCATCAAACAACCCCACTTTACAAAGTCCATTGATCATAGAATTATATGTCACGACAT